AACGTTTCATTAGAGAAGAACCCGTCCAGAGGACCTATACAATTTTTTCCTTTTTGATTTTTTACCTGGATTACTGAGATGCATCAGGACATCTCATGAACTGGAAAGAGTGTAAATACTGTACATTTTCAGGAAGTCACTCCACATCTACAACTGATTACCTTTTGGAGTTAAAACCTTTCAAGATGGYTGCCACAGTTAATTAACCGTAGGAAACACAAAAATGACCAYAAATTAGTCAGCTTTATAGAAGCTGTGCTGAAATGTGTCACTCACAACACACTTCATATGCCACTCATTGCACAAGATCTTTGCTTCAAACTTAAGCATAAACTGTTAGAGTTGTTAGCAAAAAAATAAGAATTTCATGGACTGATTTGATTTGAACAATCACAAAGTAATTTTTGAATTTACAACTATTATAAATTAAACTTATCAGTCCAGTTCAAGATGGCCACCACAGCTAATCAAGATTAGTCAAAAGATTTATTGATTTAAAAAGAAATGTGGTAATAGCTGAGGGTTGTTCACAACACTCTGAGCATGACTACAACATAAAACTAACATAAAATTACTTTAGTTTAAAACTTTTGGATGAAAAGTGAGAGGCATTTGTTCAAGCAATTCTAGGACTTTATTTATAGTTTTGTTTATTCTCTGTTTGTAACCTCGCAGTGCCCTTCCTTTCCTTTCCTTYCGCTACTTCTCTTTAAATTCTCCCATGTGTGGTTCCTTTTCTTCTCCTGCYTTTTTTCGCCTCGACTGGGACTTTTTCATTCCCTTACATTGCTTTCTTCTGTTTGACATCCTCAGAATGGAAACCAAAGGTAGAGCGGAAGATGGAGGGAGAGAGATAAAACGGCAAAAAGCCAAGTGAAGTACTTTCGGTCTCTCCGCTCCGCAGCTTCCTCCCCCTGCTCTTCTTTACATCACTGGCCTCTCTTTTTTTTTGTGCTTAATGTTTGAAAGCGCTTTTATTCTGCAAATTCTCTTTGTGCTCATGAATAAAACATGAGCATCAATGGCAAAATTCTTCTTCTCCCCACCCTATTCTGCTCTCTTTTACTTGCTAAAACACACACATACACACACTTCCACTCACAGATGGCCTGAGCCAGGTCATTTCCTCTGTGGATGGAGGATAACTGGATTTACCAGACTGTTGTGTTCTGTTGTTCTGACAGATCTGTTTATGTACCAGAAAGGGGGGKGGGGGGGGGGCAATAAAGTGTACTGCAGTGTGTGTTTCTGCAGGTGCATCTGTTCGGAAATCCTTGAGGATTTTTATTTTTTTTTACATCAGTAGTAGCAGAACTCCTGCTGATGACCACAGTTCTCCTGCCGTAAAGTAACAGTGCAAGTTGTTAATAGTATATCAGCCACCTTGTGACAGTGTAATGTTTAGTTAATGTGTTTAGCACATTATTCCATTACGGCGCGCTCTGTGTTCTGCTGAGAAGGCATAATGGTGTTATTTCTCATTTTTGGCACCATGTGTGGCTACCATCAGTTTCTTTGCAGCTCACACTGTCGTCTGTAAACATTACACTGCTCTGCTGAAACGGGCCTTTTCCCCCATCGGGTTTGATGAAGTTCCCTGTGATTCTGCTGGCTCTGTTTAAATCTCAGATACGTCACTTTGGAAAAAACATTTCAGCAACTGCAATGTAATACTCGATGCCTTCAGACTGGAATGAGTAAAAGGCCCCGGGAAGTTCTTGTATCCATAAAACACTTTTTAAACTGGAGGAGAACCATTTGCCACTTCTAGTTGCACTACTTTCTCTCTCTTTTGTCCCCTTTGGGAATGAGTACATTTTCCAAACTGTAAAGTGGTGTTTATTGTCATCAGCTTGCATGACAGTGTTTCCAATCAGTGCAGTATTGCCAAGCTTGAAGACAGCACCAGTACTGTGAAGAAAAATTAACATTTCGCACAAAAACGTTTCGATAGAAGGAAAATGCACTGATTTCTATGGGGCGCAAGTGCAAAATGAAATGTTAAAAAACACATTTTTATTAATTAGCTATAAGTGTTATCAGAGGTTAGCGTCAGCTTACCAGGATGATGTCATCATCCTGCTGGTCAACTGCTAACTAGCTGAAGATGATATTTATAATCTAAATTCAAAATGTGTTCATAAAAAAACAATATGGGTGGTACCTGTGGTCCAGCTATTTGAAGTGTGGCTCAGTCAGAACTGCAAGTTTGATGTCTTGCTAAGCTTTAGCTGCAATGGAGCGCTATTGCTATGACATCCAAAATACCTAAATGTGAACATTAAAATTAAAATTTTACATTTTACATTTAGATCTAAACATTTAGATTTAGGTTTCAATATTTAAATATAATTTTTAACACTGAAGTGTAACATTTAAAATTAACTAAATGTAAGAACAGTCAGCTAAACAAACATAAAAGCTTAGTGAAAAGTGAGTTAAATAATGAAAAATGTTAGTGAAAATTTTTAACATTTCATTTTACACTTGACACCCCTTCGATTTCCTCAGTAAGAAATTAAAATAATTGTGAAAAAGCAAACGTCATACACATATAAAATTAATATTTTACCAGAAAGGTAATTTTTAACCTTACAGTTAAAATAAAAAGCATTGAAAAGAAGACTGATAGTCCTTCAGTCATTATCTGATCTAGACTTACAGTGGTTTGCAAAAGTATTCATACCCCTTGAACTTTTCCATATTTTGTCACATTACAACCACAAACATAAATAT